ACCGCTCTCGTTGTTTTGCGATCGGAAAAGGATCCCGATCGGTGCCGAGGACTTGAGAGCGTTCCGGTGTCGTTCGCAATCGGGGGCATAAAGTGTCCGCATAAAGCAAAGTCCGGCGTAGACGTCGACCCACCAGGTAAGGATACGCTCGCGATGGTGCCCTACGTCCTCTACTTGAAAATCTCGTTCTGGAAAGTTTTGACGGATTTTCAGGGGAAATCGTAAATATTGTGTAGTGGGAAAAATTCGTCCGGTTTTCTTGTTAATAATGAAGTGAGGTGTGATTTCAATTAGTGTTTCACTAGTTTAATGAATTGTTTAATAAATGGTTTAATGAAATTGGTACTAGGATAAGGCATGAACTTTATCTAATATATAACAGGTGTTTAACACTGAAACTATCAAGCAGTCAAATTAACTTTTTAAAATTTTCTTATAGAAATTCTAAGAGATCTTCTATGGAGATTTCTATTAATTTTGCGCAAAAATTGAGTTTGCATATTGCTGAATCAATATCTTCAGTCACTTTGCAGAGAATCATCTACAAAATCAATAATCGTGAAAAGAAGAAATCAGCAATGAATCATTTTGACAGCTCATATTACTGATTTCTTTGCAATCACTGAAAGGGTAATTAATTTTACGAAAAATTATTAACCAAGCTGATTGGGTAACAGATAAAGGGATATATAAGTCAAATGAAATCTTGTTTATTGTTTTTATAGAGATATTTGAAAGTCGGTTTAAGAGTTCGGTAGTTCTAGTGTTGAATATACTTTGACGTTTTGAAAGTCGGTTGAATGGAGCAAGAAGTTCGTTTTGAACAGTTTTCCTTATGAAAGGAGGAAATTAATAATTTCAATAAATAGGTCATTTTTAAATTTTAATAGATAGATAATTTATAAATTTGATATTGAAAATTTGGAAACGTTTCGATATTTTTGAAATCGAATGTGAAGCAAAAGAAATGTAAACTCGTTTAAAACTCTTTTATTCTCGAAGTATTTATTTTTGTTTCTTTGTATAAAATTTTGGGTTGATTAAAGTTTTTATATAAATATAAATTTGCAGCTTCAAAATATTTATTGTAATTAGATTATAATTTGTATGCATTTGTATATTGTATATTGTTTATTTATATAAATATTAGATAATGTACTGATTCACTTTAAGTTCGGTGACAGTGTTAATATTTAGTTATATTTATTTATATCGTGATTTCAAGTAAATGCACAGTACATAACTGTATAATATTTTTGCGAATGAGGCATTGCAATATTAAAAATATTTTTTATAGGGAAATAATATTAGAACTATAAATGAAAAAAGAAACAGGAAGATTCAAGAAATGTAAGAAGTATAAATCAAATAACTAATGAACGATATTTTAAAATATGTAATGCCTTTCAAGCTTATTTTAATCAATGCACTTAGATATTTACTAATAAAATTAGTTCAGTGCTTGAATTCACATTTACATTAATTCGTTCCAAATTTTCAATAATTCATATAGGCACATACAATGAAAAATATAAAATAAAAATAAATCGATTGATTGTGATAAAAAGAGGTAATATATTCATAATATGAAATAAATGAAATTTTTTAAATCTGGAATTAAAAATAAAAAGATTCTTTCATTCCAGTTGTAAAAACAAAATTTAGACATGTATATTACTAAATGCACCATACAGTTCATTTGAAATACATTAATTTCATTATAATTTTTAAAAGTGTTATCTCCTTATTTCATGTTCGTAAAAAGCGCGCAATGATCTTTAGAATAACAATAAACTAACAAATAACTTGAAACGAACCATCGACAGATATTGCTACGGGTTTGTACAATTTTGAATGCATCTCCAAGATTCTATAATGCAACTTTAGTGTCGATAGTCGGCTATATACGCGAATACTGCACATCCAGTCAGCGCAAACATACCTAACTGATAAAGCACTTAATGTGTTACAACTGCATGCTCGGATTCTATTTTTATTAATCAAAGATTAAAAATCGGAGATTTAGACACAAATTTTATACAATCATAATACAGATGAATGTGAAGTCCACATTAAAGTTAGTCATAGTACACATCAATACGAAAATAAGTAACAACATTCATTTTGTTAAATTTTCATAAATAACACCTGTAAAAACATTGAAAAACTACCAAATAAGAAATAAACAACTATGATATTTCAAAATCCACAAAATAAAGAATCTTTCGGGATTAAAAATATATCTACTGAAAATCCACCTGATATTCATTTAACTTTTCCTTTCAATGTTCCTGGCATAAAGGGTAACTAAACGGTGAATCCGAATACAAATAACGAATTAACTCGTTTTTCCTAATTAATAGATTGACGCATTATTATCTTTGATCAATTTTTTAAATTCACATCAACGAAAAGAATTTATAAATACATAAATACTGTTTATATAATAGACAAATGGAAAAAATAGAAAAAGAACGGTATTGATTAGATACAGGTTGACAAAGAATTGAAATCGTAAAGAGATTCGACGTATTCTACAACCAATACAAAATTTTACATCAAATTTACTTATTCGTATAGTATATTGTATTATACAGTATATTATATTCATAGTATATTAATAATATAGTACATTAATATATTCTGTTATTTCAACAAAATGTTTAATGACCCTCACCAGTTGACAGTAAAATTCATTTCACACAAATTCGAAGCAACGAGGAAAAGTATAATGTTCGTTCCTGTTCATGAGAATGAATCTTAACATGTAAACAGACGGCGTGCGGCCTTGCTGGGTTTTAATTCGAATAAATCCAAGTTGACGAGGAGGAGGCCTTTTAAAATTCCAGTGATAACAGACCGGATCTACGAGGCTTGTCAGCGACGTAATGTCTACCGCGCTTTCTTTCTGCATCCTCTATTTTCTAACTCCTCGCCATCTACCATTCTCTCTTGTCCACGATCCTTAAACTTTTGTTTCCAGAAAATTAATTTCCTAATCTTTGATATTTAACATTTCTGGTCTTTAAACTTATCTAGACCGATTAACGTTTGTAAATCTATAGAACGCAATGAAATATCAAAATTTTATTAAAATACCACACAATTACATTATGTACGTTATTCTTGCGACGATAAAACCCGTAATAAAAAAAATAATGTCCTATTTATTATTACTATTGTTATAAATTATTTATTCAAAATACAAATTTGCATAAAAAAGAGTTTAATCATATGTAACTTTCACCTACGATAGAAAGAACTATGCATTATTCTAAATCGGTTAATAAATAAATAGGTAACGGTATATTTATGTATAGCCTGCACATTAAATGAAATGTAAAATCTTTCAAAAAGTAATAAGGATAAAAGGAAATCGCAAAATTCTTATGATCACTATGCTTATTTAAATTACAGTTTTTAATATACGTACATCACAAAAATCTAAGGAAAAAATATTATTTCATGTAGTAAAAGGTTTTTTATGTTATGATTAATATGAAGATTTTGTTTGTTTCGTTTTATAGTTTTTCTTTTATAGTTTTGTTTTATAGTTTTCTTTTATAAAATTCTCACTTTAGTTGTAAGCTAAATATTATTATGTACTGAAAAAATATATTTGCATTTTTATAAACAGAAATTAAAATTTTATGAAGTCTCAAATGAAGACGGTTAAAATTTAATAAAGATTGGGTAATTGTTTTTCTTTTATGACTGAGAATGCAATGTCGATAATGTAGGAATTAGTTCGTCACAAGATAACGAAGAGGTCGCTAACGTGCATTTAAGGAAAATTCGCAATATAGATTCCCATGATAACAACATTTATTTTGAGTTTTATTTTATGATTATCATTTAAAATAAATAAGTTTATTCCCAAAGTGCTGTGAAATTATTATATGCCAAGAAATTATAATAATTTAAAAATTATGTAATTATTACTTAGATATTATTATTATCATTAAATGCAAATGCATTTATTATAAATAAAAATTTTAAGAATGTATAGGTACATAAGAATATATAAACAATTTCATAATTATTTGAACTGCAAAAATAGGCATGAACTTACAAAAATCAATTTCTATTCATAAACTTTTAGTAAAAAATTTTAGAAATGTGTTACAATGATATACACAATAATATGCATAATTTTAACACGTTAACATTTATAAATAGTGTGCCTTTACATTACATGTAATTCTAAAATATTTTTCAAAATTAAATTCTAAGATGTTTAACATTACAATAGTTTTTAGCTTCATACAAATCATAAGTAATTTGAAAATATTTAACACAAAAAAACAGGTGGATACTAAATAAGCATGATTAGCAGCAAACTGTTTGATCCATAATGTATTCGCATTGTGATAAATTTACTATTAGTTTTTCGATATTTACAAAAGATATTTCACACATCCTCCTTGCATTTCCGTATATGCTTCGGATCTTTTTATCAGAATCACGAAATTTCTAAAACATTCTAGATCTGTGTCGGATTATTTGACAAGCATGTAAGGTCCAATTACTTAAATATTCTAACTTAACATTTAAAATTTTTAAGTTATTTATCAGCTTATGTGGAATCATATGGAATATCTTCTATAATTATCGAAAAATTGGTAGTAAATCCATTATGATATGAACATATAAAAATAATTTATATCTCAAAAATGTATATTCAATTATGTTTGATTCTTTCATTCAATATCGTGTGTCCTATGTTATATTGTTTATATTGTATTGTATTGAATGTTTTTTTTTAACACCATATATATTCATTATAAACCACTTTGTCTTTTAGAATTATTCGTAAATTAAATAAATTCAATGATAATACTACTATTAAATAAAAAATAAGGGACTTTATATATATTTATATCATTCAATTACTCCTTAGTATATGCTTAAAAGACCTGACTACGTACACCATTCAACATTACAATTTCAAACCGTGCATTGTGTTTATCAGTACTGCCCTCTAGAAACTATAACCGAACATGAGCGAAGGTCAGGCGTAGAAGTATTTGTTTCATTTGCAATTGAAGGACTAGATGAGATTTACACATGTGAAATCAACATGACGGTAGATATTACGTACGCGCTGAGCATACATGTCATTGTGATGTAGCTACTGTTCAGTGTCAGTCGTAAGAAAAGATTCATAGGGAATAGTAGAAACCATGATTATTAATCGAGCTTCTGTGGCGCCTAGATAATAATGTGAAGTATTTTAATCGGTTCCGAATGCTTTTATTTGCATTCATTGTTCCCTTGGAAAATAGAGAATTTTCGTCGTGAGGCCTATTTTTACACACAATTAATAAAGGTAATTGTATTTTCATTTATGTTATCATCTTATTGTGAATTAAGTTACCCAACATCTTTCTGTTTTTAACATTATCTTTTCGTAAAATAACATAGATTACAGTTTCGAATAGCTTTAAATGAAATTAAAAATAATCCGTAAATATAAATACAGAAATTAAAAAATCGTTTAAAATTGGATAAATACTAATGATTCTTTTTAACTCTAAATTCTAATACTGTAATTATTCAATGTAATGTCTTGAGGTAATGTGTGCGTAAGTGTTGAAATATTTGTCGTGTTTCGACAGAAAACATTGGAAAATAAAAACTATTTTGAAGTCCACTTGATAATACTTAGTTTACTTTAAATACATCGTCAATACATATTACGTAAGTCTTGATTTTTTTAGCACACGAATGAGCAAATAATGTTTGTTGAACAGCATTAAGAGCATTGAGTAATATAAAAGCCAATATATGCAACCCATTTTATTAAAAAAAAATTGTATTTATTATTAATATAAACTGTAGTGAAATAAAACTTTAAACAGTAAAAATATAATTATAATAATTAAATACGTTGTT